TTATTGTTTGAGCTCCCTGCATTCCTATAAGAAAAGGAAAAGTGTAACTAAGTTCAGGCTTTATTTCAGTATTCTCAACTTTTAAAGGAAAACCTTAGAAAGAGGTGCAGTAAGAGGTAACATTAAGGTTAGCGGGGCAGTTTCTACTAATGTGCCTGATTTGTCCACACACATAGGATGATTGCACTGAAACATTTTTCTGTTTACCTGTGCCCTGCATACCTTGAGCTATCTGTGAAAAGGTTTCTCCCTTCAATGCTGCTGCCAAAACCATCCCTTGCATAATAGCTGGCCCTACGTCTGCGCACTGGTGGATAAAATCAGTAACCCATCCGGGTTTGCATATGGGTCTAAGCAAAGCCTGAAAAGTATTATTAGCATTTTCAAAAGCTAATTTGATAAGAATTTCTGCTGCTTCTTCATTATTAATTACCCAATTAACAGCCATAGTGAGTCTGGAAACAAAGTCCTTATAACTTTCCTCGGCCTTTTGTTTTATATAGATAAGGAAGAAGTCTGAGCAGTGTCTGCCGGTAATTTTTTCCACGCGCTGACAGCACAGTGATTTATCTGAAGCAAAACATCTTTGGGTAGAGAAATTTGATTAGCCATTTGGATATACATACCAGTTCCAGAGAGCATATCATGAGAAATAATGAATGACCCAGCAGGACGATTTAAATTCTGGTCCATTTGAATTCTAACTTGATCCTCATACTCTGTTTTCCACAGCAAATAGGCACCTCCGGACAAACAGCTTTTGGTAAATTGCTGCCAATCTGTGAGAGTCATCCATCGAGAAGTAAATTGATCTAAAATAGTAATTGTATAAGGTGGAAGAGGACCATACTTTGAGCTTGCCTCCCGTAACACTTTTACCAATTTATACGGCAAGGGTTCCCAGTGAGCTCGATCCACTCCATCAGCATCGGGATAAGATTGTATCGGGAAACAAGCTGTGAAACTAAAATCTCCTTTTTCTGCTTCAGCTCACACTGCCTGCATACCGAGAGGAAAGACAGGAGCCGCAGGGGCATTACTGGCAATAGGCAAATTTTTTGACTTTAGGACCTTAGCATTGATAAGAGCAGCCTGTGGGAGGGAAGGCACAGGGTTGGTTGTAGGAGCACTGATATGATACCTAACAGCTTCTGCCTCAGGTTCAGCTTCATCCTGTGGAAATAATTTATCATTGTCATTACAATCAGGGGGAGCCGAGGCTGTGGCGAAGAGAAAATTTTCTTCATCATCATCATCATTAGTAGCCTTTCTGGGAGGAAATTTATTATAATTATGCTGTGGATTTAAAGCATTTTTAATTAACGTTGTTCCTGCACAAAATGTAGAAAACAAGCTAGATTAGAAGAAGAAACTTTAGCTCCACGCTTAGAAAGAGTATTCACTAGAATCCTGATGAACACTTTCCATTCCTTAGACTCGCTCTGGCCCATGATTAAATCACTGCTCTGGCATCAAAAAAAAACAATCCTTACCCGTCTCACTCTGCCTGTCTCTACAGAGGGGTCTGCAGCACCCTAGGTAAAATCCTAGCCACCCTCAAATGAGAAAAAGCTTACCTTTCCAGGGCCCCACGTTGGGTGCCAGTTTTGGGGGGCAGCCCCCCAAAAGATTTAGGAGGTCCCTTGGAAGGTGTGATGGCGTCGGCAATTATTCTTGAGGGATAGATATTAAAAGAAAGAAAGATGGAGGGATAGATATAAAGAGAAAGAAAGAGAAAGAAAGTGGACATCTGTTCAATGAATTGAGCAGAAGCCATTTATTGAAACTTACAGCATGTATTTATCCCCAGATTTTACACAGGCAGTCTTACAAGTCTTCCACATGAACATAAGCCAGGTGCAGGAGGGGCGACCCCCACCAGGTGTTTCCTCAGGCATGAGGAAGAACAATCTCAATTAAATCACAAAACTTTTACATGAACACAAAGCCAGGTGAATGAGGGGCATCCCTCACCCACCAGGTGTTTCCTGGAGTAAGAGGAAGGGCAATCCCAATTAAATCACAAGGTATTTACATGAACATAGAACCAGGTGGATGAGGGGCATCCCCCACCCACCAGGTATTTCCCCAAGCATGAGGAATGAGGATCCCAAAACTATCTTGGTTAATATTTCTCAAAAGCAATACAACAATTCTAATATTATAATATTCTAATAATCAATAACTTTTAAAACCTATGCATATGCAACACCTAATAGCCAACCTAAATCCCAATTCCTCTCTATTTTATGCTAATTCTACCTACACTATAGAAACTCTTAATTATAGCCCAAACCAATTCCTAAGGAATGTGGCTCAGTCAAAAGATCACACTGGGCCATTTCTGGGAACAATTGATTACAATCTCTTAACAAAATGACTGTTCTGAAATCCCATAAATCTATTTTAACTTTTATAAGTTTCTAATTCCTCATCCTCATCATCAGCAATAAAGCATCTGAAAAATAAAACCCTAGTATAAACTGTAAATTGTATTAAAGCCAAAACCGCAAATGTAGAAGATGGAAACAATGTAATTTCTAAAGTTAGCTATATTCTTATTAAACCTCAAAATATCATGTTTGATCATGCTTGAACTGACATAATTCACTGACATAGCATAACCTATTCTATAATACTTTCTATGAATAAAATGAATTCAATTTCTATAGTAAGTAGAAAAGACCCTATACTAACTGTAGCTAAAAACCGGTTTAAAAGAAAGCAGCCTAGTCCAAAGTACATGCTGGGCCCTTAGGAATGTGACCCAGCCCAAAAGTTCATGCTCGGCCTTTAGGAATGTGGCCCAGCCCAAAGTTTGTGCTGGGCCATTTCTGGTAGCTCTAGATATTTATCTATATTATTAAGGTTGAAATAGCACTTTGTATGTATATACTAATTTCTACAAATATACTATTAAATCTTAAAAGATGCTTGTACCATATTAAAGGCTCCCAAATGTGACCTGAGTTTGAATTATGTTAAGTTTAAAGCCGAAACTGCAGTCTGTGAGAAACGGGAACAATGGACTCCTAAAGTAAGTCATGCCTGTCGTACTCTCAGAACTTCATGCTTAGATCATCAAAGTCCCTGCTAGTGGAACATGCCAAAACAGCAAAGAAGGGAAGAGGGAATGGGCCTTCAGCTCCTGAACTCATCCTAGCGGTCTCAGGTTCCACAGCCTGCCTGGATCCCTAATGCTCAGGCGGGCCTCCATGGCTGGCTCCCAACAAGAGGAGGTCTAGCTTCATGGTTCAGAGGTTAGGGGGTGAAGGGCACAGGTGAGCAGCAGGGTCAGGCAGGGTCCAGACAGAGATACAGGTTCCCCTCCTCTTGTGAGGAACGCACTGAGGAGCAGGAGCTGAGCCTGAATACCAGGGGTGCTGCCCAGCCTGCAGGGTGCTCGGAGGGGCCCTGGGCCCAGGACCATCTCCTGTGCACCCACAGTGCTGTGCCTCTGCAGGGCCAACCTACCAGTCCCACCTGCAGGTGCTGGCCAGGACTGATGGGGCTGTGGCCGAATGCAGATGCCACATGAAACCTGCTCCTCAGCGGGGACTTCACCCAGCTGCTCTAGGGGCCCAGCTACCTGGGTTTGGTTGGAGACCCAAGGCCCAGGGCCAGCAGAGCTTAGAGGGTCCCTAGACCTCCCCTCTATCCCTGGCTGCATGCTTTCCCCACACTATTACATGGAGAGCTTCCCAAGGCAGCCCAGCCCTGAGAGCCTGTCTCCCACTCCCACCTGCTCTGTCCTGCAGCCCTAGGAAGGGGCTCATCCCAGTACCTGGAGGGACATACAGGCCCTGTGCTGCAAATGGTGGCCCTGCTGGGGAGGCCCAGGAGACCGTACAGATCCGAACTGGTGGAACCCAGGCTTGGGCCCTCCTGTTGCTAGGGAAGGCCCTCCCTCATGTCACTGAAGTCAGGCTTCTGAATCCAGTTTAGTACTTTTGCAAGAGCTTCTTGTGGGTCTGGCCCTGTCCTATTGCAGGGGACTTCATGATGAAAACGACCTGGCTCTGATGGGTTCATTTATCGCTGGAGGTCTGTTCACTCATTCACTCACCCATCTAACCATTCATCCATCCCTCTGTTCATCTATTCAGCCATCCACCAGTCCAGCCATCCATCTTTTTGTGTCTGTCCATTTATCTGTCTACTTACCTACCCATTCCCCCACCCACTCACCGACTCATCCATCCATCTTTCCAACCACTCTCCCACCTAACCAGGTACTCATCTGACTATCCACCCACCCACTAACTCATCTACCCATCCATCCATCCATCCATCCATCCATCCACTCACTCACCCACTCAGATACTCATCTATCTACTGACCCACTTACTCATCTACCCATCCACCCATCCACCCTTCCACCCATCCATCCATCCATCCATCCATCCATCCATCCATCCATCCATCCATCCACTCACCCACCCACTGAGGTGCTTATCTGTTCATCCACTCACCCACTTACTCATCTACCCATCCACCCATCCATCCATCCTCTCACCCACCCACCCAGGTACTCATCTATCTACCCACCCACTTACTCATCTACCCATACACCCACCCAGCTACCCACCCATCCATCTATCCATCCTTCCATCTACTCACTTACTAATCCATCCACCTATCTATCCATCGTCCCACCAACTCATCACATACCCACCCACATACTCATCCATCTATCTTCTCACCCACTTATCCATCCATCTACCCATCCATCCATCCATCCACCCATCCATCCATCTCTTCATCTATCCATCCACCCAACTGCTCATCCACCCACCCATCCACTTACTCACTTATCTATCCATTCATCTCTTCATCCATCCACCACCCACTCACTCTCCTACCCATCCTTCTTCATCCATCCCCCATCTGCCCTCACTTCCTGCCAGGCACACAGAGGTCCTGGTGAGAACCTGCACTGGTTTCTTGAAGACAATGGTCTCAGCAACCTGCTCAGACTTGAGTGCTAGCCCCTGCCCCAGTTTCAGAGGCAGAGATGGCAGCCCAGGAAGCCCTGTTGCTGGGCACTGAGGTCGAACTGCCCAACAGTCTACTGGGTGATGATCAGGATGAGCGCCTGCTGCTCCCAGGGGAGCTGTGTCAGCATCTCTGCATCAACACCGTGGGCTCCTACTGCTGTGCCTGCTTTCCTGACTTCTCACTGCAGGACGATGGCCGCACCTGTCACCCAGGTAGGGACCCTGGTGGCCAGGGCAGGGGCTGATCTTGCCAGCAGAGTAAGTGGGTGGGTGGCATTATTGGGGTGGGCTCTGTGGGGTCCCTCACCTCCTGCCACCCCACTCATTGGAACCTACAGGAGCCAGAGGGCCCCTGCATTTGTGAGGTGAGGCAGAGTCTTCCTGGAGCTCCATTTGAAGGGACTGGGCCCAGTGCCCACCCCTGGATGCAAGCTCAGGGGCAGGCTTGGGCCACAGAGGTTCCTCCTGAGACCCCAGCTGTGTGCCCAGTGCAAGGCTATGGTGGTCCAGAAGGCCTTTCTCTCAGCCAAGCAGGGCTTGATTTGTTTTCAGTCTAGATACTTTCTCCTCCTTCCCCTCTTCTTCCTTGCCCTCTGTCCCTCCACCCCATCTGCTCCCAGTAGCTGAGATCCATCTTGCCCATGGTATATCTCACCTCAGGCCTCAGACTTCACGCCTGTGAAATGGGGCAGGGGATTAAATGTCTGTCCAGTGTGGTACTTGGACATGAGAAGTACGGGTGCCTGTTCTGTTGTGTCTGAAGCCTGGATGAAACCAGGAGTTGTTCCCCATCCCCATCTGCTTTGCCATGACAGATGGTGAGCCCCCGAAGCTGGAGCCCCCATGGGAGCCTGCACCAAGGACAGAGTTTGCCCAAGTGGCCCCTAACACTGTCCCACTGCCAGGGCCACAGCCCAAAACCTGCAAAGGTAATCAGCCGGGGAGGTATCCCTGTTGGGACCCAGGGACAGGTGGGGAGCTCTCCGGTGCTGGGCACATGTAAAATGGCCCCTGCCAAAGAGGGTGCTTCTGCTTTGGGGTTGGTGGGGCTCACCTGTCTGAGGTTGAGTGAGGAGCTGAGACTGTTGCAGAGGAATTGGGGGAGGCAGCCTGGGGCCTGGTGTGTGACCCCAAACAAGTCAGTTCACTGCTTTTCATCTCTGTTCTGTAAAATTGAGATGATGAAACCCTTGCTTGCCAGCTGTCATGGAGGCTGTGTTCAGTATTGCCTAGAGAGTTATTTTCCTTATTGTTCTTCTCCCCTATTTTCTCCCCCTCTTTCTTTTTCCCTTCCTCCCTGCTTGCTTTCTTCCTCCTTCTCTGTCTCCTTGCTGTCATTACCATCATTGGAGAGAGAGTTGGGATCTGAGTGGTGGTGGATAGACCCAGAGTGGTGTCCCCAACACTAACCGACCTGACAGATGAACCTGTGAAAACGACCAGGAGTAGGGTGCTTTGGTTCCCAGCCTCCCCATCTCCCAGGCCTTTGTTTCTTTGTCCAACCCATAGGGCAGTGCCAGGGGCATAAGCCAGCTCAGGCCAAAGCCATGGCCTGGTGTTCTCTGACCATTGTTTGTTTCCTCCAGACAATGGGCCCTGCAAGCAGGTGTGCAGCATCATTGGGAACTCAGCCATGTGTTCCTGCTTTCCGGGCAATGGCATCATGGCAGATGGTGTGTCCTGTGAAGGCGAGTCCCTTGGGCTGCCCTCTACCTGAGCAAACCCGAGTTGGCCTGTGATGGGGGCTCCTGAGGAGACGGCCAGGTCCTAAAACCTACTAGGTTCAAGCAACAGGAAGGAACAAGTTCAGCCACTGTGAGGGAGAGCCCCATGGAGCAGCTTGAGCAGCCACTCCCTCTCACGTGACCACGGTGTCGACTTGAACTCCAGGGCAGACTCACCACTCTGCTCTAGTAGGAACAGGGCCTGAGTCCTTCCATCTCATTGTTTTGTGAGTCCTAGAGCAGCGCTTCTCCACCTGAACATGCCTCCGGGCCCACCTGGAGACCTGGTTAAAACAGGCAATTGTGAGAATTCTACCGAGTCCCCAGAGGTGCCGATTCAGTGGATCCGGGCAGGGCCTGAGAATCTGTATTCCTCACAAGCTCCCTGGATGTTGATGCTGCCAGCCCGTGGCCATCCCTCCATTCATTCTGTCCTTGAGGGCTGCCCCAGTCTGTGTGGCCAGAGTTGGTTTGTGACTGCCATGTCCGTATTCTGGCCCTAGGTGGAACATGGGAAAGAGGGAAGTGATGCCCAGTCCTTTCAAAGGCAGTCCCAGAAGTGTCCACAGTGGGGAGTGGGAGGGAGGCTGGATGGTGGGAGTCCCCAGCTGGGTCTATTGCTGAAGTGAAGGTGGGGGAGTGGGCGGTGGTGGCAATGGACTGCCTCTGCCATTCACAAAGGGGCCACAAGTGTCCACAAAGCACATTCCTTCCCCGCAGCGGTCCTGCCTAGGTCTGGGTCTTGTCTTAGCGTGGGGCCTCTGTGGGCCAGGACCTCCCCGCATTGTAAAGTAGGACTGTGCATCCAACACCTGCGAGGTGGTTCCCACAGTGAATGCCATCTGAAGAACCAGCCTGAGCGGTCTTAAAAATCTGCCACCTCGTATCTGGAGGCAGGACAGACAGAACATGCCGAGAGTCCAGGAAGTGTGTTCTTTCAAGTTCAGGAGCCATACCCTGTGGGTGTTTGGGCTAACAGAGTCAAGTCTGTCTGGGAGAACCTGCATCCCTCCCAGAGTTGAAATCCCATGTCCAACCCTGGCTGAGCCTGTGTTCTGATGTGGAAAGATGCCATCCTGCAAGCCCAGAAAGGACAGGAGGCTTGCCCAGGTTCCATGGTAAGGTGGTGGCCTGCAGGTCTTCCTCTCAGAGTGTGGGGGTGGGCCTCAGGTGCAGTGGCACTGTGTCCTCTGGGTTTTGCCCCTACCTTCTAGGGCCCTGAAGACATGAGGGCTGTGTCTGTCCTGGGTGAGGATTCCTCTAGGCCCAGCTGTGAGCACCTCAGCCTCTGCAGGCCTGTGTCTGCTCCCTCCAGGCCTCTCCTTCTTGGAGGGCCGGTATAGCAGTGAGAGTCATGAGGCCAGAGCTTGCAAACAGGCCTTCTGAGGGTAACCTGCCCCAAGGAAGTGTCCTGCTCGACTCTGCTGTGTTTAAGATCAAGTGAGTTATCAAGCATGACAAGCTCAAGAACTGTTCAGATATTTCCAGATTTCAGGCTTCTCTTGAAACTTTGTAAAATCTGCCTACAATGGTCCCATACCCCTGACTCCTTTTCCCCTTCTCTTGTTTATGTTGCTGGCCTGGCCCCCTGAGCACTTGAGTAGGCAACCCCTCCAGTGGCACAGTTTCCTTGGTCCCCATGAACATGGGGCATATGCAACATGGATGTGGGGGACACTTGTGGTCCTGTCCCACTGTGTGACGGGGCAGGCTGCCCACCTACTCCGGATCTCACCTCATCACCTATCCTTACTGGGGCAGTGGGTCTGAGCTATACACACTCAGACTGTAGCCACGGCCAACGGACGGACTGTGGGGGGTAGCCTGGACAGGCCCTGCGTTTCTCTGGGTCTCAACTTCCCTGGCCACTGGATGCTCCATGGCAGGCCACATCCCTCTATCAGCCCTTCTGTTTTTCCTTCTGTGGACACACTAGACCACAACGAGTGCCTGATGGGTGCTCATGATGGTAACTTGTTGGAGACCTGCTCCGACCGAGGGTGGGTTAGGACCCGCACCGGAGAATCTGGATGGCGAGAAGAGACCACTCAGAGGCAGTTCTTCTGGGAACAGTCTGATCAGGACTGAGGCCAAATTTTATTCGGACTCCTTCCAACTTATATACCATTTTCTATACCCTCCAGCAGTGTGATAATCACTTGCTGGGGGCGTACAAATTCCATGCATATCACGCTTTACAAACTATCACAAGACCATCACGAGATTTGCAAGTTCCAGGCAAACAATTCGAATTCCATGATGCCTGTCGTGCTTCACAAAACTTACATTAAGGTCACAGGTGCACAATTTCAATACAGATTGTTCAAAGTGTTTTCCATAATGTTCAATAAATCATTCATATTATACTCTTTGTTCTAAACCCTGATTAATACAAAAAACTTTCTAAGTTAACTCTAGGTTCAATCCAAGTTCATTGGCTCCTAATATTTTTTAACGATTAATATTATCAACTTAACACTATACTATAATCTATAAGTTTACTTAAATGACTTAGCTTTTAGTTATACTATTATCCTATTACGATTTAACGTAATGCCTTATAACTCAGTTAAAACTTATTCTTAAACTACCAAACTTTACTATAATTCATATGAGTTTCATATGTCTAAACTTTAATTTTTATATAATCTAATGATTGACCTTTAATACTATGCTATATCCTATTAAGCTAATACCTCATCATGAATTCTTTTATAAATCTTATAGTAACTATTATATTTGAATAATGTAGCAAAAGGAAATAAAACAGCAAGCATAAATTTATGCAACTATGAGTGTATATGTATATATTTTATCCTAACAAGTCTACTCTAAAAATCAAATAGTAGCTGTCACACTCTTGAACAAGGAAATGCATGGCCGCCATGACGGTGACCATGGGCTGAAGCAGAGAGAGTTTTGGTAATTAACGAAACAAAAGAAAACATTCTGCCTGGCTAGAGGCAGGGCGATAAAACTATTATGGTAATTTAGTTTCTAATCTTAGCCCTAGGGGAAACTGCTTTCGGGAACAAGAGCTGACTAACCAGTCTACCAGGAAATAGAAGTTTAAAAATGTCTTGAAAAAGGAGTACAACTTAGAAAGACAGAGAAAAATAATTCTGTTGTGCACTTTCCATCAGGCACATTGATATTTACTTATAAGTTTTACTGCCATGTATGCACACTGGTCACTAATCACACACCAATATTATAGGTATAACTGATATCCTATGTCAGAGGCGATCTTCCAGATGGGCCTTTACAGGCCTCAGCCATGTAGCTATAGATGTTGGCTCCCAACAGTAACTGATGCCAGTTCTGTGTCAACACTCTGGGATCCTTCTACTGTGTCAACCACACCATGCTCTGTGCCGAGGGCTTTATCCTCAATGCACATAGGAAGTGCATGGGTAAGCCAGAGCTGCCTGCTGCCTGTGTCATGGCCCTGCTCTGCTCCATGCCAGGCCGCTACCCTGTGGCCTCAAGCTAACAGGCCTGCCATCTGCATGTGTGCCCTCAGTACAGCCGGCACCCCATGCTCCATGTCATGCCTCATGTGCTGGTGTGGTGTCCCCCTTGTCAGTCTGGTTTCCCTGGGGCTGTGCCTGCGAGTCTGGAAACTAGCTGGATGTGAGCCTGGTGGGCCTCTGACCCCACCTAGGTGGCAGGGAAGAGAAATCAGGTGTGCTGGGCAGGAGAGTGTGCATGGAGTCTGGAGGAGGAACCCTGGGTGCCAAGCAGGCCTTGGACAAAAGATTTGCCTTCTCCCAACCTTGGTTTCCTCATCTGTAGCCAGGAGGCCGTTGATCTTCCTTTGATGATCATGTGACATTGTGCAGGGCAGCACAGGGCACTGTGAGCATGTGAGGTCAGCTGCCTAACTTCCCCTTAGAGGCAGCCAGGGACCCCTCTGGGGGCAAGTGGACAGATGGCTCAGACACCACCTTGGCATTTGCCTACTGAGTGACTTGGACAGTGGAGCTCTCCTCTGAGGATCGTTTCCCCCCCTCTATCCTCGGGGTGATGGCTAGTATCTAGCACCCAGCCTGTGTGTGGCTGGTGTCAGTGCCCAGGGACATCACTTCCATTCTCTCTCTCAGGGCCCATGTGGGCCAGGGGCTAGGGCTCCCAAGTGCTCTGTGGGCACCCTTGATGCCTCACGTGTCTGAAGCATCTGACATTTTCACAGGCTTTACCAGGCCTTGCCCTCCTGGTTCATGGTCCCAAGCAGAAATAGACCCAATGTAGCAAGAACTCAGGGTGGGCTGTGGTAAATGCTACAACAGAGTCACAGGCAGAGGGAGAAGTCATCCCAGCTGCTGGCATCTGCATGCACTTTCTGGAGAAGGTGGAATTTACACTGGTTTTCAAGGATGGACAGGACTGAGAAAAATCAGGGTAGAAGGAACAACTCAAACAAAGATGTGGTGGTAGGAACCACGCCTTGTGTCCAGGGCATGTGACCAGAGCCCCGCCTGTCTTCTCTGTGCTTGGGGACCATGTCCAACGTGGACATGTTCCCTTCTTCACTCCAGGCCACTGGGCAGGTGGGCCTACAGCACTGGGCTGAGCATTTGCTGCAGACATGTTTGCCCCAGGCCTCCAGCCATGGGCACAACATGCACCCTCCTGACCCTGCTTGCTGGCGGGTCTTCCTGTTTGCTGAATGGCTCTTCCTGTCTGGGTCGGGTGGTGTGTGTGTCTGGGGAGGCGGATCCAAGGACGTGCATGCACTGCTTCCAGGACGCCCTTCCCTTCCACCATGCGAGTGTGCGGGCTTGTGCTGGAAGGGCTTCCCGGCAGCTAGAAAGTGGTTTCTGGGAGTGAAGGCACAAGGGTACGCTGCACTCAGCAAAATGTATGAGCCTGTGTTCTTCCTCTTCTGTGTCTCTCCTTGATTCATCCTGCACGGATGCACCAGCGTGTCCCCCCATCCTGAACTACTCGCTCACATGTGCACTTTATCAACTCTTGGCTGCGCCTGCTTATTCTACATACCATCTGTGCATCTGCACACGTCTGCTGGCATCTCCTGTGGTTCGTGCTGCTCCGTGCATGTTTGTTAATCCAGGCAGGTGAGAGGGGAGGCACCAGCCTGTCCACTTTCAAATCCTGGCTCTTTCACTTTCTAGTCGTAAGAACGTAAGCAAGTCACTTAGCCTCTCTGAGCCTCAGTCTCCTCATCTGTGAATGAGACAATAGTGCCCACCTCAAAGGGTCACTGTGGAGATGACTTGAGTCCGTTCATGTAAAGAACTCAGTATTTTGATGCTATTATTATGAGTTAAAAAATGTGTTATGCCGAGGCAATCTGCAGAGGTAGTGAGCTCCCTGTTACTGGAGGTTTATAAGCCAAAGTGGGACAGTATTGGGTTTGACCTCTGCCAAGGATGTCCCTGTGCCTTGCCATGTGCCTTTTGTGCCATGCCCTTTGAAGACTGCTTTGGACCCAAGGAATAGTGCCCTAGGTGGGCTGGGTTGCAGTAAGATCAGAGAGGAGCAGCCCTGGCTCTGAGAGACACCCCACAGCAGGACTTGCTTGGTGGAAAGAGGACACAGCTCTGGGCTGTGGTCCTGCCAAGTGCTGTCTATGTGACTTTGGCCGGTCCCATTGCATCTGGGAGCCATGTTTTCTCACACATGAAATGGGGCTGGCTGGCTGCATTGTGGAACACTGTCCTGTCGACTGCCTGACCCCTTGTGAACCATAGTTAGTGGTAGTAGCTGTCTTACTACTGTGATTCCTGCAGGAGGGGGGAGTGCCGGAGTCCAGCTCCAGTGGGTCAGGGTTTCCTGAAGGAGGGATGGCGTCGGCGCAGGAGAAGAAACTTGGATACTGACTCTGCTGCAAGCAGGACAAATGCCGATTCACTGTCTTTTCCAACTCCTTTTATACCCTACATATTTTTTGTTTTCAAGGCAATCAGTTCCAATTTTAATGGACTGGACAGGCAATGTATCTTTGTTCATCCTGTTTTGATCGTAAAACATTATCATCCTAAGCATTAACTATAAATCTTATAAACTCCTAACATTTTTTAATGATTACCATTTCTTAATGTCCATACAAAACTTACTTATTCCTATAACTATTACATTATAAATCACTACCAAGTTCTAAGCATTATAACTATTACATTGATTAGCAAGTCACACCTGTGACCTCCACACAGCAATTTGCAACTAACTGGGGTAAAACAACATTTTCAAGGTTTCTTTTTTTTTTTTTTTTTTTTGAGTTGGAGTCTCACTCTGTCACCCAGACTGGAGTGCAGTGGCCACTCCCGACCACCGCAGCCTCGATCCGCTGGGCTCCGGCGATCCTTCCACCTCAGCCTTCCAAGTAGCTGGAACTATAGGCGTGTGCTACCACGCCTGACTCATTTTGATTTATTGTAGAGATGAGGTCTCACCAATTTGCCCAGGTGAGTCTTGAACCTGCGGGCTCAGGCAATCCACTCACCTCAGCCTCCCAATTACAAGGCATTACAGGCTGAGCCACCGAGCCTGGCTATTTTCAAGGTTTCTTAGCCACAAGTTGGCCTGAATAGTTTTCCACAATGTTACACCTGGTATTTACAATCTGCATCAATTATCCCCTGCCAGGGAGACTGAGCTTCAATGTTTGCAAAACACAAGGCCCCCTGGGCTCAAATCACCTTAGTCACAATCCCTAACCAGAATTACAAGCCTCCTTAGCAAAGGGAAATAAAGGCAAGGGTGCTCTAATATTTATGTAATTGTTAATTTTTTAAGCATAATACACCACATGTAGAAATTAAGAAATTAAGTAAATGTAATTTTTGCATTGGCACTCTTCCTAAAAATACAAACTGTAGCTTCTCAAATTTCTCCAATTAGTTGCCAATCAGAAGAAATAAAATCTTGCAAGTAATTATCTACCCACACATGATATTTAAAATCTCTATTGATAATTTCCTGGCAAGGCCAGTGAGTTCTCTGAAAAACATTAAATAGAGCATTTTCTGATTTTTTACAATTTTCCCAACTACAATGTTTAATCAAATGATTGCATGGTTTAATACCAGGAGGCTGGGGACATGGAAACCTAGGGAGGAATTCAAATGAAAGGAAGGTAATTTCTTCATGAATTCTTCTCTTGCCTTTTTGCAAGGGGTAGTGGAGGCATGAGTGGAATTTTGCTTTCCATCCTCAGACTGTACAGACCTTTTTGACTTCACTAATAACAAAAGTAGAAGAAGCAAGGGTCTCAGCTGCCCTAGTTCACTTTGCAACCCAGGGTCTTCAGCCCCCTGGACTTTGTCAGCAGGCAGGCCTCCATGGCTGGCTCCCGACAGGAGAGACTCTGTGGGTTTAGGGAATGGCCTCCCTCTCTCAGTCCAGCCTCCACATTGGAAGTCTACTCTGCCCCGTCATGCCTTCCTTGGAGCCCACTGGCCCTGAGCTCCCTCTTTCCCTCCTCCCCACACCACCCACAGCCGGGTCTGTCCAGCCTGTTGACCTGTGGTTCACCTGCAAGCTAGGGTGGGCCTCTCTCCCTGCAACCTTGTCCCCCCCACACCTGGTCCCCTAGTTGTCCTGCAGACTCAGCTCAGATGTCATGGCCCCAGGAGTGACTGGCGGTCCAGGGCCAACTACTCAGGCAGTTGTTGGCCTGAGCCCTGGTGGTGCTAGTTACTGTGTGGGGAACAAGTGTCAGTAAAGGTGATGTCCTCAATGCCAGGTGGCTCTCAGGAGGCAGGATTCAGGCCATCCTGCACACTTCTGTAGCCCTGGCTTGGGTGCTGTTTGTGCTGGGAGTCTTTGTGCTTCCCCAGGCCCTGAGGGTCCATCTCTCTCCCTCCCTAGATTCTCCCCTTCCCAGCTGCTTGTCCCTGGAGCCTCCCAAGCATGGGTCCCTAGCCTCTTTGTATGCCCTTTCCCCCGGTGACCTGTTATTTGACTACTCCCACTTAGCATGCTCACCTGGGCCCCTTTTGAGAGTTCAAAGGCTTGTCCCAGCTGCCTCTTGACTCTGAAACTCCCATGGCCAGAGGGCTCCCTGCTTCCCTTCCAGCCTGCTTCTCCTAGCTCGCCCTGCCTCGGAGCCACCACCACCTGCCCAGCTGCTCAGCCAGAAGCTCTGTGGCCCTCCTGGTTCCTCTCTGCCCCCTTCATCTCACCCATTGGTGGACCTTAGTTCCACCTTCATAGGACTTCCAGAGTCCAACGGCTTCTCCCCACCTCCGTGGATGCCAGTCAAAGCTACCAACTCTCCCACCAGGATCCTCACCCTGGGGGCTGTTCTCCACCGCCAGTTGGGATATCCCACTCGACATAAGTCAGACCACTCCTCCTCTGCTTGGAATCATCTGTGACCCCCGCCCTCTTCTTTGTCCTCTCCCCTGCAGCCACACCCGCTCCTGCCCAACCCTGGAACTTGCCTGGCCAGCTTCCTTCTCAGGGTCTCCAACCCTGTCCTCTCTGCATGGATTGTCTGTGTGGCTCATTCTGTCACCTCTTCACATCCTTGCTCAGGTGTCCTCTTCTCTGAGGATCTGTCGCTGGCTCCCCTATGTAAAGTTGCACTGTGCCTGGGCTGTGCCTGGGAGCTTCTGATCTCCTATATCCTACTGTTTCATCTGCACACTCCTGACTGCCTCCCTGTATGTGTGTCTGTCTGTTGTGACTCCTCCCGAGTGTCTGCTGCACAAGGCAGGTGTTTCTGCTCTCTTGTTCACTGGTGTATCCCTGCTGCCAAGAACAGTGCTTGGCATATAGTGGGCGCTCAACAAATCTCTGTTGAATGAAGGGATGTGTGGGTGAGGGACATCAACCACATCCCTGTGTGGAAAGCACCCCAGGCCAGCCATGCTCCTTCCTGCCTAATGGCCTGAGGCCTCCTGGCTGCACTCAGCCACTATCTCCAGAGCACCCCACAGCCTCTGATGACCTTGGCCTCCCCGCAGACATCAATGAGTGTGTGACAAACCTGCACACGTGCAGTCAGGGTGAGCACTGTGTGAACACTCTGGGCTCCTTCCACTGCCTGAAGGCCCTCACCTGTGAGCCAGGTTTTGCCCTCAAGGATGGAGAGTGTGAAGGTGAAAGGGGCCGCTGGAAGAGCCCACAGATGGTAGTGTTGGGACAGAATTGGGCAGGCCAGATGGGGGAGGCTGGGATCTGCCCCCGCTCTGCTGCCACTTGCTGGTGTCTGGGTGCCAGTTATTCCCCTTGCCATGGATCCATTCCTGTTTGCACATTGGCATGAAGCCCTGGGAAGGATGGCTCTTCCCCTTTCTCTGGGAAAATGTTGCTTTCTGAGAAGAGGGGAATTTTTATTTAGCCTTTTCAAAATATACTTCCTGAACGACTTTATGAACTTTGCAGAATTCTGGGTTTCCAGATTCAGGATGGGGTGTTGTGTCTCTTCTCTGACCTTATGGTGGGGGAGATGGGGTGCATGCAGGCAACAGGGAGATGGCAGAGTGGCCATGGCTGGGTTTCTGCTTGGGGGGAGTCCAGGGAGGTCCCTGGAAGAAGTGAATGATGAGACGCTTATGGGAAGGGTGTTCAGGCAGAAGAAACAGCATGCACGGAGGCCCATTGGGTGTGAAGGGAAGGGATCTTGGCCTGTTCCGAAAACAGAAGGAAAGCTTCAGGGTTGATGCCCTCCTGCTACCAGAGCCTCCTCCCTAAAAGTGTCAACATGTGACCTTGCCTTGGGGACTCAGGCACCCCTCTCTATTTCTGTCTGTCCTCAGTTGGTGTGGGGCAGTGGCTAGGAGGGCAGGCTCAGGAGTCAGCCAGTCTGGGTTCTGATCCAAGCCTAATGCTCTCTTGCTGTGGAACCTTGCCTGTGCCTCAGTTTCCCCCTTCTAAGATGGGACTGGTCATAGCCTCTGCCCCCCAGGGTTGTAACACATCCCGGGGTGCTAGGAACAGGCCTGGGACCACAGAGAGGTAGGAGCTCAGTGAGGGTGGTCCTTTCATTATTGCCACTGGGGAACAGGGCCTGGGTGCAGTGCAGAAGACTCCGCACCTGCCAGGCTGGCTTTTCATGCCAAAACACCAAGGGATCCTTCTACTAACAGGCCCGGCAGTGCTGCATGGAAGGCGTCCTGCATTACCCTGAGGGAAACGGCGTGGGTGAGTTGTGCGGGGGCTGGCCACCTGGCCTGGGGCTCTTCAGATGGGCCCTTGCGGGTTCCAAGGGCTGTAGAACCCAGGGAGGCCTGGCTCACTCTGTCCCCCTCCTAGCCTCACTCTTCCTGCCTGTGAAGGGACATGTCAGGTGATCAACTCCAGTCCTGAACTGTCTGACCTTGGCTGAGTTATTTTTCCTGTGGCCTCAGTTTGCCCGTCTGTGGGGCTGGGCTGGGCAAATATGTCTCAGGTTTTTCTAACCCAGTCAAGAACTGTGTTTTGTATCATGACCTAGTACATGCACACACATGCAGAGACAACTGGAACACAGCGTTCACAAAATCATACATCACAGGTGTGTTGCTTACTGACACGTTCTATTTTCAAAGAGTGCTGGTGAGACCTTCTAGAGTTTTTGTGCTTGTGGGTTTGACAGAGACTGGCCTAGTGGCTGTCTCCAAGTGGATCTGAGATTCCAGACTCTCCCTGACCCTCATCAGCAGCCTTCAGAATGCCTGCTTGTGTAGAGAGAAAGCCAGGAGGGCCCCCCTTCATGAGGGCTGCTGACCCTGACCCACCCAGAGGCAGGGCCCCAGTGGCCCCTGGACACTCACATCTAGAGTGGGGATGATGGAGGCTTCGCTCAGCCTTGGGGTGACTGATGTGGAGGGAGAGGCAGCAGGACAGTCGCTGCCTGGGGCCTGCGCTGGGGTGGGCGGGACGAGGGGCCTGCTGGACTGCAGCTCTGTCATGTACCTTCCTCACTGGTGTAGCTTGTGAGGTGGGGGTGCCCTTTTCCATTTCATAGGGAGAAGACTGTGGGGCAGAGGGACTGTGGCTCTGCCTGAAGGCTTTCTCGGGTCTTTGGGGTGCCCCTGGCCCATCTGGGGGCAGGAGCCCACCCCTTTAACAGCCCACTGTGACCCCAGCAGTATCCGGGATGCAGCGGACTCCGCAGGACCCTGGGGAGTTTGTGTGGTCAGCCCTGGGCCCGCCCTTCCCAGCCAGGGTCAGGACAGGGTGGGTGGGGAGGGTCTGCTGTACTTCTGTCAGCTTCTGTTCATTGATGGACACGTTTCTGGAATACTTTCACAGGCCAGGGTTCTAGGTGCTGGGGAGGCACAGCAGTTTAGAGGGAGAGAGACTAAATAAGCAAATCTGTGTATCAAAGCAGCAGGTGCTTTCATATACAATACAACAAGTAGGGGGTTAAAAAAGGAGAGGCTTTTCTGCCTAGAGGGTCCAGGAGGGCCTTCCTGAGAAGGTGGCATTGGGGCCAGGACCTGAGGGATTATGCGAACCAGCCATGAAAATATTAGGGGACAGCATGTAACAGAGATGGCCAGAGGCCCTGTGGTGGGATGGGGCCCTGGCACCTTGGAAGGGCTGGGAGGCCAGTGGGGTGGGTGGAGTGTGTGGAGGAAGGGTAGAGGATGTGATGGCAGGCCCAGGCAGGCTGAGTGACTTTTGTGGTCATATGAGGTCTGACAGTCAAGTTCAGCAGCTCATCCTAGAAAAAGTGCTACAGGCCTCATTGCTGAACATCACCGTGGTCGCTTTCAAAACACACCCCGTGGGAAGCTATGCACTGATGCCTGTGCCAAGTCTACCCATCAAAGCAATTTTGGAACTCTCTGACTGGAGTGGCCATCAGAGCTGTCGTTGTATGACTCTTAATGTCCTGAATGTCATCAAAACGTCTTCGTTCCAGAATTTCCTTTATTTTGGGGTAAAGAAAAAAGTCGGTGGGGGCTAGATGAGGTGAATAGGGAAGGTGTTCCAAGATAGTTATTTATGTCCTGGCTAAAAACATTGTTGTGATGCAACTGCTCCCTCGGGACCATTTTTGCACACACCTCTCTCATGCTGCGATTTTCAGTTAAGCTTTTCCTGCTTCTCTATTGATGTTTATTTGGTCTGCTGGGCTTCTCACAGCCAGCCAATGATTTTGACAGACAATGCGATACATTTTTGCAATGTTTTCATCAGCTCTGCTTGTTATGGACTGTCCTGACCACCCTTCATGAGTGATGCTTTCTATCCCCTCAGAAAAACATTTAATCCATTTGATCCTGACGTTTTCTTCATGGCATTATCCCCATAAACTTGGACGAACACGCCCCTGATTTCACTCCACTCTTGCCAAGTTTAACAAGAAATTCAATGCTCGTTCATTGCTTTAATATAAACTCTGACATTCTTGCGACGGCACACACAAAAATACAACAACAATGAACGCCACTCAGCAAGACACCACCACACATCGACACAAACACAGCTGGGAGACACTCCTGTGCCAAGGTTAGGAAGCCTTACTGAGTTGTTTGTACAGTGCTGCCAACATAAGTGCCTGGGTAAGTTCGCAAACTTAACAGTCAGACATCTTAGGTGTCCTGGACCACTGCCTTTATTGCCTCTGCCTCTGGCCACTCCAGCTGGGGCAGAAGTGAAAAGAGCTTAGAACAGGGCTGTAGGTGCCTGGGTTCTGGGAGCGATGGATGCCTTGGGTGGTAGGGCATGGGGTTGGGACAATCTGGCCCTGCTGCTCTGGCCCGGGCTGGTCTGGAGCCTACGGCTGGCTACCTCCCAGTGTGGCCCTGGGCCTAGATGCTGGGGCCGGGGAGGGCGCTGCGCCAGGTTCCCTGCCACCCCACCCCTACCTCTGCAGATATCAACAAGTGCACATCGCTGTCTGAGCCGTGTCAATTGGTCTTCAGCTGCATCAACACCGTGGGCTCCTACACCTGCCAGAGGAACCTGCTGGTCTGCAGGCATGACTACCACGCCAGTGAGGATGGGGCCAAGTGTGTGGGTAAGGCTGGCTGCTTCCACTCACAGCCAACCTTGACCAGTCGGGGGACCCTGCCTGTGGAGGCCTAGGTGGACGGTGCCCCCAGACCTCAGGATGTCCACTTGTCCCCACCCCCTGCAGACGTGAATGAGTGTGAGACAGGCGTACACCACTGCGGCGAGGACCAGGTTTGCCACAACCTCCCTGGCTCCTACTGCTGTGACTGCAAAGCCGGCTTTCAGTGGGATGCCTTCGGCCGCACCTGCATCTGTAGGTGGGGCTGGCAGCCGGGCCCCTCCGGAACACTAGCTTGGTCAGTGTGCTCTGTGTCACTCCATCACCCCTCCTCCACCAGAGAGGTGCCCCCCCACCTGGGTCTCCCCACCACCCTGCCAGCCCTCCAGTCGCCTCTCTCCCTGCTGAGCCATGCCCCTCCCTCTCTCTGACCTGGTGATTGGCCCTGACATCCTGTCCCTCTGCAGTGCCACTTCTTCTTTGCTAGGTCTTTTCTGCCCCTCCCAGCCTCAGTCTCTGTCACCCTCTCCTTCACCTCCTGTGGCATCTGCCTGTCCCTCTGTCCTCTGCCTCCGTCCTCACCTCCCTCCAGGACCTTGCTGCCTCCCGCCTCCCCATCTCCACCCCTTCCTTCCCTATCTGGCCTCTTCTTGTCTTGCTTCCCCTTTGGCTCTGGGCGGTTCCTGGGGATGACAGGCATCTACTTCTGGCTGCCCACCCTGCCTGCCCAACCACAGATGTGAATGAGTGCTGGACCTTGCCAGGCCATCTGTGCCAGCACACGTGCGAGAACACAGTCAGCTCCTGCCGCTGTTCCTGTACCTCTGGCTTCCTGCTGGCCGCTGACGGCAAGTACTGCGAAGATACAATAACCCTGGCCTCTGACCTTGACCCCTGCCTCTGACCCCAGGTAGCCTGGCTCCTGCCATGGGCAATTCCACCATGTAAAACCCAGAGACTTGTCTAGCCCTCCAACCTCACATCTTCCCCCATGCGTTCCCTTGCTGGCCCCTTCCTCCTCCCTCTGGCTAGCCCTGCCTGGCCTCTGCTGGTCCTGCTGTTTCCTGCCTTGAATTCCTCCCAGCAAGGGCCCTGGCTCCCTCAGACCAGAAGGGCTGGGTCTCTGTCATCTGCACCCCTGAATAGGGGCTCCCTCAGGCCGGGGTGGCAGCCCAGTTCTCTGTCCCATGGGGCTGGCTGAGCCTTTGCTGGAGCAGGTCACGATGGCAGCGACTTGAGTTGCAGGCAGGGGACAGATGTGCACAAGGCTTAACATGGGGCTCAAGGCCACCCCGAGAGCTCAGGGGCCACCAGAGGGCACCAGAGAGTACCCGCAGATGGGTGCCTCCAAGCATGCGGACCAGGGGCCTTCCGGATCTTCTGGAACTCTTGATATTTACGAAAATCTGCCAGTTTTTACATGCTGTTGTAGGAGTGAAACTTTTTTTTTTTTTGAGTTGGAGTCTCACTCTGTCGCCCAGGCTGGAGTGCAGTGGCACACTCATGGCCACCCCAGCGCTGACCTGCTGGGTGCCAGCAGTCCTTCTGCCCCACTCTTCCAAGTCACTGGAACTACAGGCCTGTGCTACCATGCCCAGCTAATTATTGATTTATAGTAGAGATGAGGTCTCGCCAAGTTGCCTGGGTGAGTCTCAAACCCGCAGGCTCAGGCAATCCACTCACCTTGGCCTCCCCAAGTACTGGGATGACAGACTGAGCCGCCGAGCCTGTCCAGATTGAAACTTTTAAGGGCACACTGTGGTGGGCAGTGTGGCTCACGTCTGTAGTCCCAGTACTTTGGTAGGCAGAGGCAAGAAGATTGCTTGAGACCAGGAGTTTGGGACCAGCCTGGACAACATAGCAAGACCTCATATCTACAAAAAGTGAAGAAATTCAGCCAGGTGTGGTAGTGTGTGCCTGTAGTACCAGCTGAGGCAAGATAGTCTTCTGAGCCCAGCAGGTTGAGTTTACAGTGACCATGGTTATGCTACTGCACTCTAGCCAGGGTGACAGAGTGAGATTTCAACTCCAAAAAAAGGGAGCCATACTTTGAGTTAAACCGAGTGTGTGCACAGACTGGCCTCACACCTGTGTGGGATGCACCCAAGGCTGATGGCAGGGCTGTCATGCCATCCCACACGTGTCTGCCAGGCCAGGAGGGACTGGTGTGGAGGGAGGCCACCAGGCTGCTCAGTGAAGGGATGAGAGGTAAGTGAGGTGTCAGTCCTGTGCCAGCCCTCCCCAGCCTGGAGGTGCACACCTCACTACCTCCTGGCAGGGTGAGAATGCTGAGACCCCAGAAACCATGTGTCCCTTCCCTATCACTGGGCCTGGAGGAGGAGCAGGCCCTTCTGTGGGAGCACCAGCCCAGGGGCAGAAAGCATGGCCAGGACCGGCTGTCAGATGGCCTTTGGATGGGCTCCTGACTGACTCTGTCCCTTTCATCTGGGGGCTGGGGCCCCCGCCTTGACCTGCTGGTGTCCCTGCAGACATGAACAAGTGCGAGGCCCAGTGCTGCTGCCAGGAGTCTGCCAACATCTACGGCTCTTACCAGCGCTACTGCCACCAGGGCAGTGATGGCACGGCAGGCTGAGGAGGATGCACACAACAAAGAAAACAGTAGGACTCGAGATTACTTTCAGCAGGATCTTAACAACTGTTTTGTATCTATACATACGTATATATAACAGGGGCAGGAGGGCAAAGGACCCAGGATTTATTTATTTTAAAAGTTTATTAAAAAGTGTGTATTAAGTCGGGTTCGGTGGCTCAGCCTGTAATCCTGTGCCTTTGGGAGGCTGAGGTGAGTGGATTGCCTGAGCCCGTGGGTTTGAGACACGCCTGGGCAGCGAGACCTCATCTCTACAAAGTAATGCAGATGGAGTCACCTCTTCAAGATGTGGAATCCATGGAGGCAGGCCATGTCTGTCCTGTGTACCAATGCCTGGAGTATGGTCCAGCACATAGTAGGGGCTCATTGAATGCTCAGCCACACGACTCACCAAGAGGTGACTGCTGCTCATACTTGCATGCACTGCCTACATATACTGGGGTGGGAACCCCCAAACCCCAGAATTATCTTTCAAAGGGTGGGCCTCTTGTAGTACAAGCTTCCTGCTAGGAAAGTGTTCTAGGACCCCATCGGCATCCACATGTACCAGCTAGTTTTGTTGAGAGAAGCTGCATTTGGGTTCAATGAAATTTTTTTTGGAGATTTTTTTCACTGTTTTCCCATTTCATGATGGGTGATTTGTGAGTGCACCTGCCCACACTGCACTGAATGTTCAGTTTTTGACCAAAAGTGACATGACCCATGTGCCTCACCCTCCTTATTCACCTGATCTCACCCTAAGCACCTTTTTCTGGTTTGTTTCCCCAGATAAAAAAAAGTTCTCAAAGGGAAACATTTTGCTGATTTGGAAGAGGTGAAATAAAAAAACAGCAGAAGAACTAAAAGGCATCAAAATGGACGAGCCTGAGATGTTTTTTCCACTGCAGTGCTCCCAGCCTTCCTGGTGGCTTGCCGTGAGCGCCTGTCCTCTGGGATCCTCTCAGGTCTCCCCTGGTCTGCGTCCTTGACACTTCTCTGAGCCAGTGGGTTTTTCCTCATCCCCACTTCTGCACGCTGAGTTGTGGCTGGCACTTCGCCTCTGATGAGGCCGCCATGGCAGCCCCGGCACAGGGCCTGGTCCAGCGCCCATGTTAGCCTGTGTTCCCCAGGAATGGCTGCACGGTGGAGGGCCCCTGGTCACCAGGAGCCTGGCTGCAGCCGTTGACCCTTCACAGCCCTTTCCTCTGGGCCTCTCCTTCAGCACCGTCCTGGGCAGAAGCAGGAAGTGAGCTCCCGCCCCATCCCTGTCCCATTCATGCGGAACTTTGGGGTCTCAGACGAGGGTGGCCCCGGGCATAGGCTGAGTGGCAGAAGGAGGCTCTCTCCCTGTGGATTCAATGAATGGACAGTCGACAGGACTGGTTCCCCTCCACTTGGCCTCTTGCTATGTTTTCTCCTGCTCACCTTTGTGATGTTTTGACCCATTTCATAGAGGAGGAAAGTGAAGCCTGGAGAGGGGAGCAAATGTCAGCTGATCCCTACAGGAGGGCCTGGCGGCCAGCAGCCCCGAGGTTTTGTGGGCCTGGGATGTTGATCCCTCCCCGCCGTGCTCTGCTGCAGCCGTGTGGCCCTGGACACAACTGTAGATTCCAGAGACACCAGTACCTGCCTCGTGGGGTTGGTGAGAGTACAGAGTGCCACAAGCATCATAGGGATGTCAGGTGGTGGTTGTTATTATTGTTATACTGTTGTTGTTAGGAGTCAGTTTGGCATCATGACTGGATCCCAGGTGGTGGCATCAGGCACCCTGGCTTGATGCCTCGTCGACTGCTGTGTGGCCTTGAGCGAGGTTATGCCTCTATCTGAGCCTCACTTCCCTCCTCTGTCTGAGAAGGCCTGTGACCCTCACCATAGAGGGTGGCATAAGAACGGAGTGAGAGTCTCTAAATGCCATCCATGGGGGGCTGGATAATAAACCTGAAAGCCCCCCAAAGTGACCTCTGATGGGCCTCTGCCCCCACCCAGCGACAGCTCCTGCGGCCTCCTGTGGCCACCCTAACCGGGTTGTTTATCCTCAAAGAAAGGGGCTCTGGACCCCATTTGTTTCCTCTTTCGTCCTGCAGGTTGCCCAGGGTTTTACACGCACCCAAGCACGCTTGCCACTCTGAGCGTTTGTCAGAGGTCTCTGTCCATACTCTGTGTGCATCTGTGTATATGCTTTTTTGTCCCAAAAGGCCCCTGTGTGTGTATGGGTTTTTCCTTGCCCTCACTTCTGCACACAAGGTTGTGACTGGCCCTTCACCTCTGGTGAGGTTGCCATGACAGCCCTGGCACAGGGCCTGGTTCACCTGTGTGGGTGTGCATCTCTGTACATCCTACCTTTCCAGAGTCCATGTTGCGGAGGTGACAGTGGAAACAGAACCACCATGCAGAATAGCCCATGTGTGTTTCAGAGCATGACAAGCAGTATGAGGATGATAAAACTGGATGAGATGGAGGGTCATGGGGGAGGGGCCACTGTAGGGTGGCCAGGGAGGCCATCCTGGAGGAGGCAACTCAAGATCTGATTCCTAAAGATGAGCAGAAGCCAGCCGTGGGAAGATGAGGGAAAGTGGTCCAGCAGCAGCCATGGCATGTGCAAAGGTCCTGGGCTGGAGTAAGGGTTGGGCTATTGGGGCAGCCCAGAGGTGTCCCGCAGGACTGCAGGCCCTGTGGGAGGGAGGGGCTCAGTGAGGCCCCGTGCGGTAGGGTTTGGCACCATGAGGGGGGCTTGGGGTTTATTCTGGCAGCATGAGAAGCTATCAGAGGAGGTGGCACAAAGATGATTTATGGCTGGGCTCGGTGGCTCAGCCTGTAATCCCAGCAATTTGGGAGGCCGGGGTGAGTAGATTACCTGAGCCCGCGGGTTCGAGATCTGCCTGGGCAACTTGGCGAGACCTCATCTCAACAATAAATCAAAAATTAGCTGGGCATGGTAGCACACCTGTAGTTCTAGCTACTTGAAAGCTGAGGTGGAAGGATCGCCGGAGCCCAGCAGGTTGAGGCTGTGGTGGCCGGGAGCTGTCACTGCACTCCAGTCTAGGTGACATAGTGAGACTCCAACTCAAAAAAAAGAGATAATTTACATTTCAGAGCAGGGTCCTGATGCAGGTGCAGAGCAGGGGGTGAGGGGTGGCATGGGGGCTGTGTTCTCAGGCGGAGCTGCCCCGAGGCCTGGGCCTCCAGTGCAGGCTGAGGGGTTCAGGCTGGACTCCCGACTTGCACCATGTCTCCTGTCCTCCCCAGACCTGGATGAGTGTGCACTGGGCACCCACAACTGTTCCGAGGCTGAGACCTGCCACGACATCCAGGGGAGCTTCCGCAGCCTGCACTTTGAGTGTCCTCCAAACTACATCCGAGTCTCCAGTACATGAGTACCCTCCCCACCCGTGGGCCCAGAAACCTCGCTGTGCTGTCCAGGGAGCTGCCAAGTGAGGCTGGCCCCTGACCATTGGGTCTGTAGTCCAGTTGACCAAAGGCAACTTGCCAGACATTCCGAGCACGGAAGGACAGAAAGGAGACACACAGAAGATAGCCCCCCAGCTCCCTCTCACACAGAGATGCCATCCTCCCAGCATTTAGCACCTTAATCCAGTAAACACTTCCTGTCTCACGCAGCTTCTGAGAATCGGGCCTGAGCACAGCATAACTGAGGGGCTCTGGTTCAGGGTCTCATGAGGCTGCCGCTGGGGCTGCAGGATCTGGATGCCACTCCCCCCATGGCTCTGGGCAGGTAGCCTCAGCGCCTCACCATGTGATCCTCTCCATGAGGCTGCTGGTGGTGTGCTACCCTCCAGCTCAGGTCACCGGGAGAGCGAGCATCAGTTCCTGAACCTCACTTAAGCTGAGAACTGACAGGCTGTCACCTGTGCCACTGGCCACATAGTCCAGCACTTGGGAGGGACCCTGGGAGGGGGTCATGCAAAGTGTGGCTGCCAGTCAGCAGGATGCTGGGTGCACTAGAAATGAGGAGGGAGGAAGGAGCAAGGGGAAGAGAAAAGAGAAAGGGGGAATGGGAAGAAGGCGGGAGGGAGGAAGGCAGAGCTATGGATGAATAAGAGTCAGTAGCAAGGCCAGCCGGGCGCCGTGCTCAGCACGGTGCTTATAACCAGATAAAACCGTGAGGCTGTCGGCAGCCTCATCCCTCAGACGAGGAGACGGAGCCCCAGGGGCAGAAGGTGATGCAGCCAAGACTGCCAGGCTACTCGGCAGAGCTGGCCCTCAAGCCTGCCCCTGCGGCTGTGTGTGTCCAGTGCGGGTGATCCTGTATCCTGTCCACCCTGCAGGAAGTGCGAGTGCATCGCATGCCATGACTTCGTGGAGTGCCAGAACTCGCCAGTGCGCATCACGCCCTACCAGCTCAACTTCCAGTTGGGCCTCCTGGTGCCCACGCACATCTTCCGCATCTGCCTTGCACTGGCCTTCATGGGGGACACCATTGCTCTGTCCATCATCAAGGGCAACGAGGAGAGCTACTTTGGCACATGCTGGCTGAATGCCTACACGGGTGTGGTCTACTGGCAGCACTCAGTGCTGAAGCCCTGGGACATCACCCTGGATGTGGAGATGAAGCTTTGGTGGCAGGGCTCCATGACCACCTTCCTGGCCAAATGCACATCTTCTTCACGGCCTTTGCCCTGTGAGGTACCCATCCCAGCGGCCTGGCAGGTGCTGTGGGCCCCAGGACACATCGTTGGGTGGGGCTGCATCTTTATCAGGGTGGTTACTATAACTTTGTGCATTAACTTAATTTTGCTGACTAGACGCCTTGGGGCTCTCCTGGGCCTGCAGGGTGGGGGTGCTCAGCAGCAGGAGGGGTGTCCTCACATGGCCACTGAGTGGGGCATCAGAGGGTGCCTGGTGGGTGAAGGACAGAGGCTGGATAGTGACCAGTGGCCACGTTGGCGCTTTTGGACCCACCTGGATGACCTGTCTCCAGAGTTGACATTCCATTTCACGTTCCACTGTGATTCTTTACTTTTTAAAAATATCGTTTTTAAGTTTTTAGTTTAATTATGAAAGTAGTACCTGTACATTGTGAGAAAAAAAAAAACATCAGTTAGTAGAAAAGGGTTATAAAGTGAAAAAGTAAAATGCCTCTCGGTCCCTTGACTTTGGTGAAGTGTTTTGAATTTGATAACAGCATCTGAATGCCCCAGGGGTCCCTGGCCTGGCCAGCGGTCCACTCATTGACTGAGACCATCCTTGATGTCTTACTCAAGTCACCAGTCCCCAAGCAGGAGTTCACCTCGGGGTGTAGGAATTCCAGCGTCTGCTGACACTGACTCTGGGATCCTTTCTTCTGCTTTCTTGCTGCTTCTTTGCCTCCTCTTGCCCTCCTCCCCTCCTTCCTCCCCCTCTTCTCTCCTTCTCTCCTCCCTCCTTCTCCTCCTCTCTCCCCCTCCTGCATCCTCCTCCTCCCCTTTAACCCTCCTCACCTCTCCCTCCTCCTTTCTTCCTCTCCCCTCCTTCCTTCTCCTCCTCCCCCCTCCCTTCCTCCCCCTCCCTTTCTCCCCTTCCCTTTCTCCTCCTGTCCTTTCTTCCTCCCTCCCTCCTCCTTCCTCCCCAGGGGTGGACATCAGCTCTGGTCTGTCACTTGACTGGCATCGGGAACTCCAGTCCTGGTCCCTGTTGCGGAGGCCCAAAGGCCTCAGGTCAGGCAGTGGGCTTGGGCGGTCAGCTTCTCAGAGAATTTTCTGTGGGCCTCTGGAGCCTGTGGTCCAAGCAGGGAAGGACAGCGTGAGAACCAGGGACAGAGAGGCCCTGAGAGGGCAGGGATGTGCCTAAAGTCCCCCTGCCCCCCATGAGAACCAGAGCGGGCATCTGGACCCAGCTCTGCAGATCCTGTCTGTACATTTGCTGTTGCCCAGGCTAGAGCCTTCCTTTGTGCAAGCAGCCTGTGACTCTGGGTGGCAGCCGGCCTTTAGAGTGACACAGAATGGAGGAGTGTTCACACCCGGAGGGGAGACCTATCCAAACCATGGTGTGTGTGTCTGTACTGTTCCCGCTCACGTGGCTCTGGCTTATGATAGGAAAGCAGGCCTGTTGGGGCCTGGGTGCACCTGTGGGAGGGGGCAGGGCCGCAATCTGCTCAGCCTTCTGGGATGGACTGGGGTGACTGTTCTCATTCAAAGCAAGATCCACAACTATGTGCGGCATTGGGGAGCCACTGAAGCTCCAAGTGCAGAGTGGGGGTGCTCCGTGCACAGGTGAGTGGCGGGAGGCAGGCCAGAGGACCCTGGGCACTGCCCCCGGTGCCCCTCAGAGCGGCCTGGGTTGAATTGGGGTCCAGCTGGCAGAGGCTGCTGTGGGCCATGACGCACACACAGTGACAACTGCCGTGGCTGGCGGGGCCACGGAAAGGCTTTGCATGTGCAGGCCTGGCTGGGCAGGGCTGGGGCCTTGGGCTGCGGTAGCCCCAAGGGGCAGCTGGAGACTTGGAGAGAAATGGGGGCCACGTGACCACGGGTCACATGGTGACATCTTTAGTGTGTCACTCACCTTTCATGGGGAGAAAGCTTTCTCCTTCCTTAGGAACACAGTCTGTGAACTGCAGCAGCACTGAGTGTTTGGAGCATTCAAAATCTCCTTTGTGCTCCTCAGCATGCTAAAGTGACAGTGGGTGTTAGAACCATGAGGTCACCATGTTGTATACTATGCTGGGAAAGAAACCACAGAGCGCCATGTCACAGACCCCTTGAGTATTCTGATAACTACCATTTCAGCAGAATCTGCAGACTTGTTCAGACTGCCAGAGGCATCTGGCACACATGTACACACACATACATCACCCGCTCAGACATACGTACAAGCATGGACACACACACGTGCAGGTGGGCACACATATGCATACACACAAACAGGCACACACTTGTGCATGTATACATACACACACACACATTCATGTGCACAGACATGGACATACACATGCCTGCATATAAACACAAACACACACACAAGGGCACACATGTGCATATACACAGACATGGGGACATACACAGTCCATGCACATAAACATGGGTACACACATGCATGTATACAGACGCATACACACATTCATGCACATACACATGAGCACACACATGCACCTGCACAAACACGAATACACGCACACCCATGTACACATGGTTGAGAATCCCTCCAGTGGGACAAAAGGCAACACAAGTGAGTGTCCAGCCCATAGTGGCTGGCCATATAATTGATGGTGTAGCTGTGGACACTTGAGTTAGAAAGAGATACTACTAACAATTAGGCCAGATAGTAGATATGGGGCGATGGTCCCTAGCACACCAGGACCAGGGCTACCCTGCACCCAAGACCTGCAGGACATCTGTGGTCATGTCTGGGTCTGCATATCTGTGGGTGTGTGGCTGTGACCGTGGAAAGCCCTGTGGATTGCACTGGGGGCCTGCCCCATCCTGGGTGTGTGTCTGGTGCCTGGGTTCTCTCAGATGTCACACCTGAAGCCCCGTGTTCAGCCTGGTCACCTGGCCCTCAGTGTAGACCTTGTCCAGCCGTTCCCAAGGTGGTCAGTGGGCTGGGGTTTGCCTCACCTCCTCCGAGGAAGGTGAGTGGCCCACATGTGCAGCCCTCCTGCCTTACCAAATTCGTCCTCCCTTCCACGATCAGCCCCTTTTACAGATGCAGAAACTGAGGCCCAAAGGGCTTGAATACTTGCCCAGGCTACACAGGGATTCCTGTAGGGTGATGAGGAGCTGGGGACAGGATACCTGGCCTTTCTGAGCCTCAGGGCCCCTGTCTGTGGTGAGTTCCAGGAGATGCCTGGGACTGAGCTAGGAGAGGGCCCTCAGCTTTGGTTCCTCTCCTTGTAAATCCTGCCGTGATTCCCTTCACCCATCAAGTCCGAGTCCTGCAGCCTGACATTTTCACTCCCTGTCCACACCCTGGGCTCAAGCTGCCCCAGCCGCCAACCCTTCCCAGTTCCCTCATGCTCCTTCACATCTCATGCCTGTACACATTCTGCACCCTTTGCTTGGAATGCTTGGCAAACTCCTATGCATCCTGCAATGCTCAACTCTGACCACCCTGCAAAGAGCTGGCATCTCCCTGCTCTGTACCCTGCTGCCTCCCCATGGTCCTGCAGGGCAGCCCTTCTTATGAGTTGCCCAGATAAACATGAGCTCAGAGTCTTAGCACTGAGCTACAGACATGGCATAAAGCGGGCACGTGTGAATAGATGAAAACTTGCATGTGCACTCCCTACGCACGTGTGTGCTGCTCGAGAGAAGGGCTGTCCTTTCCAGCTGTCCAGGGAGCAATCAGAGTTCATCCAGCTGTCTAGGCTGGGCCAGAGTTGGAGGGAGGAGCAGGCTGGTGGTAGTGGCAGCCGTTGGGACAGGGGTCCCAGGCTGGGCCTTTCTGTGAGCTGCACCCCCACACGCCAAGCATCTGCTCCAGGCTCCTGTCACCTGCTCCCGGGTAAGGCTGTGGCCCACGCACAGGTCCCCAGTCAACCCCAGGCTCAGCCCTCTGGGCTGGTTCTCACCTCCCTGAAGAGCAGGGCACGGTCTCATCCTCTTCTCTATCAGGTTGGAAGCTCAAGGTTGGCCCAGCCTGGTTGGGGTCAAAGTCATGTACGTGCTCTCCCTACCCAACTGCTCTGATCCTGGAACACACACCAGGAAGGGTGGGGACAGGAAGGGGACAGTAGGGTCTCTGTGCCTGCTCCAGGGCACTGTCAGCTGGCTTGGGATTTATGCCTCGACACCCCTACCCCCAGGCCCAGAGGCCAGGCTGTTCTCTCAGGGAGCAGCAGTGCCAAGGGTCAGGCCCCGGCCAGCAGGGTAGGCCAGGGTGGAGCAGAAAGCGTTCAAAGGCACCAGCCTCACCACAGGCTGGATCCCAAGTGAACACTGCTGGGGACATTGTCCAGCTGAGTGACATGGACTGGGACATCCTGCCTCCCAGGGCCTCTGCTTCCTCAACTGTCAATGGGCAGGCTCTTAGCAGACACCCCTCGGACCCCCTGCAGGACCTCGGGGGATGTGCCCATGTGTCCCTGTTTCTTTTGGAGAGCAGTTCTCTGCTGGACCACCCCTTGCACACCATCCCGCCAGGCACATGAACAAGGGCGGCCCTATCCCCCGCCCAGGGGCTTCACGGGGAGTGGAGCTCGGGTGGGCAAGAGGTAGAGAAGACGTGGTCCCAGGGTCTGCTGACTGCGTCCAGGAGTTGGGGATGGGAGGAAGGGAAAGCCTGGCTGTGTCGGGGCTGCACGGGGTTGGTGTCTTCAGTCACCCAGTTGTTCAGCTGGAACCCTGGCAGCCTGACTGCTGTCACTCCCCAGTCCTAGCCACTGTGAGCCGCACACAGCCCTCAGAGCGCTCCGGCACCCAGCCACTCCCCCCACCTCAGCTGCCACCACCCGGCTCTGCCCAACAGCGCCTCCTCCACTCACACCCAGGTAAGTCTCAATGCTCCCTGCCTCCGGTCTTATCCACATGCCCTCCTTCGTGGTCACAACCTTTCTCCTGGAGTTGCCAGAGCAGTGTTATAAACCACTTGACGGTTCTCAGCTCCCTATCCCCCGTGGCTCCTGTCACACCGGAGGAATACATTTAAATTCCTTACCTCGGCCTGAAAGACCCTGGAAGTTCTTGCCCTGCCGCCTCTGGGCTCATCC